TTCCTGGACACATCAGTAAACGACCGCTGTAGACACGTTTGTTCCTGAAGTCCTGTTCTAGGATGTTCATTTCATGATACCTTAGGTTACTGCATTCATAAGAATAATTCCTCAAATCACTTGCTCCGTTTTGCTTAGTTTAATACAAATCAATGAAAAGTCCACTTAAGGAACAAACACCTCCATTCTGTCAATGTTAAGAAGTTTCCTAGATATAAATTAGAGGATTTATCAGTCACTGAAAATCGGTATGAAACCTGATATTACTAAGTACAGTCCACCTTGCCATAAAGTATATCAGAACATCAAAGTAGAGAGCAACAAGATGAAAGATAGAGGAACAAGAATGAAGGCAGTCAAACGTTATAGAAGGTAATGAAAAGACAGAAACAGGTAGGGAAACAGTCTCATAAAGCTACCTAACAAGCTAGATGAAAAATATGACATTGATGCATCTGTATCAGATTTTTAGCCAAATCGTCTGGAGATTCCGACCACCGAGTTCGGTTATCATGTGGAGCCTAATCTGGAGGTTTGTATTTCCCTACATAGCTCAGACAAGTGGTTACAGACTTCTTGAACCGATGGCATGTTTCATTGTAATTGGTTTTGTGGTTTGTTTATTTATTTAGCATGAACCTACCTCGGGGATTCAGCTCAGTGAGAGAGCTGTTGACTGCAGGCCGAAATGCCTGAGGTCAAAACCCGGGTGCCCTGTAACTACACCTCCCCTGAATAACTAGTTCACTAGTTACTAGCCGGTCCTAACCTCAGGTAAAGAGTGAGGTTTGGGCAAAGGGCTAGCAACCCTACCCCGCATAACAAATCCAATCACTGAATAAACTTCTAAGCACAAAGAAATTATAAAAAATAAAAACAATTATTCCTCGCTGGAATTGGGGAGACAAAATGACGCTGGTTGGTGAAAGCCTGCCTTCAGGAAGCCAACTGGCCGATGTGTCTTCTCTCCTCTCGATGAAAGCGAAAGTAAACATGGGACATGGAATGTGCGCACCATGTATGAACCTATCAAGGCTGACCAGATTGCAAAAGAGATGAGGAGGTATGGCACAGAAGTGCTAGGCTGGGAATCTGCAACGGATAAGCAGGTGGAATCGAAGTGACCTCTACAAACTCTCAACTGAAGAGTCAATAATTCACTCCAATATTTTCACCAAGACGACAACCTTGAGCACACTGAGTTCTTGAGTGGCTATCATTATGTCCCCATGAGCATCGAAGACTCTCTCTCTCTCATGCAGTAGGAACCAGTCTTTTCCTGCAGGATCATGACAGCAAGGTTTACCTGAAAACGAAGCGAGGTCACAATCATACAATGCTACTGTACGCACCCGAAAACAATACGGACGAAGAGAAGAAGGTTGGATACCATAGACAACTGCAATGAGAACTCGGAGCAGACAACACAGGAAGAGAACCAGTCATGGGTCGAGAAGCACTCAGTGGAATGATGAATGAGAATGAAGAACTGTTTGCAGACTTCTGCACATTCAACGATTTGGTGATTGGAGTGAGGCAGTGTTTACAAACATTCAATCATTCATTCACAAAGCAACATGGATTTCACCAGATGGACATGCCAAGAATTAGATCGACTTCAATTGAATGTGAAGAAAGTGGAGATGCAGCCAGCCTACTGGACACAAGATCAGATGAAGAAGGTGAGCAGTGAGCATATGTGGGTGGTTGACACCACTCACTATCCAGTGCAAGGAACTCACCTTCAAAATCAATTTGGGAGCCTTCAGAGAGTAGTTGGTGATGGACGACCACAGTTGAAGTTGAACAGGCAGAACGGAAAGTGCAGGACGAGACTACACAGGACATCTTCACATCAGTCATCAGAACAAAACGGGAGACATTGAGCAACATCCCCGGAAGAACCTGTGTGGAAGCACACTGGAACTCTTTTTACAGAGATGTGGAAAGAAACCCGTATAACCGTATTGGGAAGGAAGAAGTAGAGGTAAGACAAGGAATGGATCTCGACGGATACATGGAAGCTGATAGAGTAGGAGAGGAGGATGGTGAAGCAGAAGATAAACCAGTGCAAGGATGAACGACAAGAAGAAGAACTGAGTGCAACCTAAAATAACACTACACTGGACAAAGAAGTGAAGAAGAGTGCGCTAAAAGACAAAAGACACTTATATGACACATTGGCAAGTGAAGCAGAACAGGCTGCTGGTAGGAGAGACCCGACAACATTATATCAAATAACCAAGTTACTGTATGGGGAGAGATCAACGCAGACCGAGCCAATGAAACATAGTGAAGGAAGTCTAATCACCAAAGAAGAAGAACAAAGGAAAAGATGAGCTGACCACTTTGAAAAGCTCTTGAATCGACCACCACCTGCACTTCATCCGAAAATACCACCTACAGCCACAGAACCACCAGTGAACACAAGCCCTCCGAAAAAAGCAGAATTCCTTAACGCCATAAAACTGCTGAGATTCGGGAAAGCAGCAGGACCAGATGGAAGCCCGCCAGAAGCACTGAAAACAGGAGCAGAGACAACAGCGGACAACCTCACACCACTATTGCAGAAGGTTTGGAAGGAAGGCAGGAAAGGTAGCTGCCGATTGGAAGAAAGGATGCCTTGTCAAACTGCCGAAGAAGGGAGATCTAAGTCTTTACAAGAACTGGCGCCGAATCATTCTGCTGTCCACCCCAAGCAAAATATTGAGCCACATCATCCTGGAGAGACTGAAGGATGCGCTGGATTCAAAATACGATCGGAACAGGCTGGATCCAGGGAGTACAAATCATGTGCAGATCAAATTGTAACGCTATGCTACGCATCATCATGGAGCAGAGTATAGAATGGCAGTCAACCCAACTCAACCTGAACTTCATCGATTTTGAAAAGGCCTTCTACACTGCCGACCGGGAAGTGATTTTGAAACTTCTTCAACACTACAGTTTTAGTGACACAAACCTCTATCAACCTCATTCAACAGCTATCTGAAAAAGCCAGATTCCGAGTGATTGAAAAAGGATAGCTCAGTGATGCCTTCAAAGTGAAGACAAGAGTAAGACAGGGCTGCATATTATCCCTGATGGTCTTCCTGATTGTAGTCCACTGAATCGGACTAGATCATTCAAATCACTGTGGGAGCGAGAAGATAGGCATACACTGGACCGATCAAAAGACCCTAGGAGATTCGGATTTCGCCGATGATGATGATTTATGTCTAATATCTTGTGGCAAAAACTTGAGGATCTACAGGCGAAAACTAACAAGTTGATAGGAGAGGCGAGGCAGAGAAGACGGGCCTTCCTTCAGGTGAACGTGGAGAAGACAGAGGTGATGAAGATATTTAACCAACAACAACGACAACAAGCACTGATCACAATTAACGGGAGAAACCTAAATGAAGTAGTCTCTTTCACCTACAGCAGCCTAGGCAGCGTAGCACAGCGTAGGCACAGACACAGATGAGGATGTCAAAGCCAGGATCGGAAAAGCAAGACTGGCATTGACTGATCTGAAATCAGTGTGGAGATCTACTACTCTCTACTCAGCATAAGGAACAAGATCCGGATTTTAAACACCAACGTGAAGTCAGTGCTGCTATATTGTTAAGAAACTTGGTGCATCACGAACAGCACCTCCAACAAACTACAGACATTTGTCAACGGCAGCCACCTGTGGTTGATGCTTAAGACCAGATGGCCAGAGCAATAAAAATAAGCAACAAGGAAGTCTAGCTGGCTGGTAATGAACCAACCATGAAGCCGTCACTCAACAAATATGTAGAAGGAAATGGAGATGGATTGGGCATACACTGAGGAGGCCGACTGAGGACATCACATGCCAGGCACTCGAGTGGAATCCAAAGGGGAAATGACGAGTAGGGTGTCCGAGGATGACACGGAGCGGATCATGTGAGGAAGGAATGAGAGGTTGTGGACAGTCATGACACCAGGCTCAAAAGACTTCAGAGAAGAGACCGCAGTGGAAGTGTGCTACTGAAGCTCTATGTTCCACTAGGAACCGAAGGAAAAAAATAATAATACTTCGGCTAACATTGTGCTGCTGAGTAGTTGGTGACCAGGTGTGCATGACACATGCTTTAGGCATCTGAGTAGATGGTGGTTTAGAATCCTCTCGATCGACTCTCCCCTACTGGCTAGAACTCTATGTCTGACTTCTATGTTATTGATATGGTGGCACCATGTCACGTTCTATTCAATCGTAGTTAGGCCACTAAAGCCTCTTCATTTGTTCTACACCCGAAAGAAATATTTCATAACCATATGCAGGAAAACATTAAACGTTTGTGCAATTTACTTAGTTCTTGTTAGACAGGTGGATAACATGCTGATGTATGTGTTTATATCTGTGTATATATTTGCTGAGCTTAAGTCCTGACGGGATTCTGAATACTCACGTCTTCAGAATATGTGTTTAAGACATCTTGACCGTTGTGATAACTGGAAGTTCCCGAAATCCTGCTTTATCGATTAATGAAGGTTTTAAGCTCTACCTTTTATGTGTAAATCAAAAATCGGGCCTCAGAAGAGATGGGGCCTAACCGTTCATATATCCCTACTTCTATAAATTTGAAATACAAATTAGCACACTTAGCTTCCAATACTAACCTTCGAGGACCCATCCGGTGATGAATAACTAAGGGGCTCAAAATCGTCACCAAGGAAGTAGTTATAAAATGAGAAGTTATAAAAGAAACTCTTATGATGTATAACAAACCTGACTATGTCAAATAGCTAGACAAATAAATTTTGTATTGAGTAGTCATTTTCCTCTACCAGATGCCACCAGGAAGCATTTTGATGGAATTTTGACGTAGTATCCTCATAAAATGATCATTTGTCAATAAAACTGATTCATTTTTCTTGAGGAACAAACGAAGTAACAGTTTTACACTCAGATAATTATGAGCAATCATATTTTACAAGAACATAATATTTCTATGGGACATATCAATACAAATATGTATTCTAAAACTTACGTTTACCATCACAATATCCGGCACCTTGATGAAACCAATGGAAGTACCATTCAGCCATTTAAATATTTTTTGTTCATGCTTACCAAAATGAATCAAATTTACCCATTGTAAAAACTGCTTGTCAGATAGTGGATAGTTCTCTTTCCCGCGAGTCACTGATATTGAAGATGACGTGAAGCCTAACTGTAAGGTGACGGGACTTAAGCCAGCTGTGTTCAATGCAAACATTCTTATTTGATAGACATGATGGCTAATCAGTGATTCAATGTGTATACGATATGTTGTTCTGTTTAAACTATAATATCCTGCATATTTTCTATTGTCATACATTTGAGAATGAGGTGAACTGATTAAATCTGAATTCCGTGAAGCCGAGGATGATAAATGTTTCATTTGATAGAGATGTCGTTCAATGGACTGGCTGCTATTCAAATAATAGTCTTGTATACTCGCAGAAATATCGTTTTTATTCTGTGTCCTATATGTGTTCTTCAAGAAAGAAAACTCCTGATGATCAGAAGGTTCATTATTTGCCAACCAGTCAGTTGGTTTTACCTGAAGTGAATTAAAAGGAAACATAGAAATCAAATATAATTTCCTGAGTCGTGTTAGTAAGCATATGTGGTCGTAAAGATTGCATCGAAAAATCATCTAGTCACCTATATTTCTGTCCCTAGAAATTCTGTTAGTTTTTTCTGAATATGCTTAGTTCTGTAAGATTATTTTATTTTTTTAGCTTATTTGATTCAAAATGATTCATCCACCGAATATCAGAGAAAAAATATGTCAAACAGAAACAAATTGCATCAAGTCCCCACAGAATTTGTTTTTTCATAAGAATTTAAGCTATGCTATCCGAATGATCAAATTAGACTTAAGATTACATTGGTGTCTAGTGTGAATTGATCACTCTCTTTGAAATCAGCTGATAAAATGCTCCTTGAACTGAATTTAAGATCGAAACTCAGCTATTCTGTAAGAAAAGTTGAAAACGCAAGTGGAATACAAATGAAAACCTTGTTGATAGAACTACAACCATTCAGTTGCCTTTTAATAATAATAGATGATGACTAATACATGAGCATACAACACTATTTCCATCCAACTCAAACAGGAGTGCCTTAATCACGTATTTGAAGAGGCTGTAGCTTAAAATTCATCGTTGCGCATATTACAGCTGGTTATTAAACGCTACGGAGTTACCAAAGTCAATAAATGTATGACGATAACAATGAGAAATATTTTGCATCTCCTTACAGTTCATCTGCTTGTCTTCCGCACAGTGAATTCATAAGTGATAACGATGGGTCGATTTCATCACAAAAAACAAGACCAGGAAATGAGAATAAGTAATATATATCTTATTCAGCTTTTCAAACTTCAACAGTTTCAAACATGCTACAGACTATTTGTTCCTTCAGGTCACCAGAAGACACTTAATCTCATTCTGTATTAGTTTACTGATTGATTTCCTGAATACTTTCATCACTATCCTCTTCTGCAAAATCAGGCGACTGAATGCGTCTGTATCTAAGCTGTAAAGTTAATGCGGGTTTAACAAATTGGTTGTTATCTCAACAGTTACTTGCAGTTGAATACCATTTTATGCGGTGAATTCAATCTACTTCGTTTCAAGAATCCCCCCTTAAGATTTTCATGTTAAACTTTCCTGAGGGATAAAAATGTGTGTAAATCATACTTTTGCTAGATGATTTATTTGTCAGCTATTAAAGTGTATTTCTTCTCGGCAGGAGGTTTAAATTCCTTGTTATCCTAAAAATAGTATGATTTTATTCTCCCTTATTTTATTTATCTTATGATACGATGAATCAAGTGAACGAATAGTTAAATTTCAGTGCATTTCTTATAAGAGCCTATAGGAAATTTTAACAACAAATAAAATAAACAAATCTTTTCAAACATGGTCATACAGCACTTCCGATGGAAGACCTAATTCCAATAAACTACTAATGAACTGGTTGTATACCATTGTGCTCTTCTGAAAGTGAAAATTAAATATAACATCCTACCGTCAAAACGTTTTACACATTCTTCTTCAAGTAGAACGCATTTGTGAAACGCTTTCTTAAGAAGATGAAAGATATGAATCAGTAATCCGGAAATTTGACAACTTACAGCATGATCTATTGAAAGTGGATAATTTGTTTGCCGTTATGTGAAGGCTGCTTCGAATAAACTGACAGGGGATTACAATATCAAACTTAAGGGTTTTCTAACAAAGTAATCACCGATTATCAAGTGCATATACAGTGCCGATGAATAACTCCTTTCATCCATCGGAGAGACACTCGCAGTAAGAGAAGAGAAAAGTATGTGATGCGTTAACTTGCTTGTCAGTGTCTACCGGAAATATTAGCCCCGAAATTGTCTAGTAGTCATTTCCTTCACTACAAATACCACAAAGAAAGAATTTGGAATGCAGGAGTAGTTTTTATTTCAAATTTGAGGAGTTTAGAGACTAAAATCTAAGATTTAGGCCATGACAAAAACAGTCCATACATGTTGTTATCGTTCCTTCAGATGATGAAAAAAGACATAAATTAGCATATTAATGAATAACTACAACTATGAAAAAAAATAACCAGAAATTAGCACTCTGAAAGTTTCACCATTTACCTTGTCCGAAACACTTTCATTTTTCCAGTGTCATTTCCTTAATCTCACCTGAATTGATACCTAAATTAGAGCCGCCATGAATCCATAAGGTTGCTCATTTCAGATACATCAATAGTTGATGTTACTAATTTTTTTCGGAATCTAATATTATAATCCTTCTTTATTTGTAAGTTCGGACGAATGAGAGAGTCAATCTATGTTTGCCTGTAAGATAAATGTCACATAAGGATGTTCTGTAGACAACTTTGGTGCTCGTTTATTGTTTTATGCATTATTTATGGTACAAAGTAGCTAATGCTCTCGGAATAGATCAAAGTATATCAATTAAATAAATTGCATCTTTGCATGCAGTCACCAAGTAATTAGGAAATTCTTTCATTTCTGTTTAACAAACTGCGAAACCTCACATTTCTTGAACTGAGCAGCTACTTTTTTGAATCCAGACGAATAATAAAGGCGAAAGATGTGGGCTTTAGTGCATAAATCATTCCGTTTTTTTCACCATTACTATCTGCCTAGAAAGTGGCCAATATCCTTTGATCTTGATTCCCATCGGTTTGAAGGAGCGAATGGGTAGTTGGCAACAAATGATTAACACTTGGTAGTGAAAATTCCGTAAAATAGAAGTATTAAAGGTGTGAATATTCATAACAGTAACTTCGGTGTCAGTTTGCTCACTATAACGGCAGACTATTCATATCGATGAAGAGTACTTATTCGCACCACAAAGTATGTTTTCCACGTCAATAAACCTCGTCGATAACTGAAAGGACTTCAACCTACAAACCTTTTACAGCGAAACAAGAGACAATTATAGATAGATTATGAACTAAAAAAGTTTAATCACCAAATTCTTGGCCAAAAACTACAATCGGACTTAGTCATTATGATGTTCAAAATTAATTTTAAACAGTATCTACAAGAACTACAGTGCTGGTTCCTGAAGGAAAGAAAAGTTACTATTCATCGGCATTCTTTCACATATGAGAATCAGTCAGCTTTATGGCACTCAAAATATATTTTTAGCATAAAAATTATTTGCTTTCGCTCTAGTTTGAATAATTTCTTATATTATCACCAACTCTAAGTAGCCATCAGTTTATGAATGCATTTTCATGACGAACTAGTTAAGGATACACAGTGTAACCCCCTAATTAAAAGTTTTTGATGAACATCAAATTGTGATGCATATATTATGTCAGCCAACACAAATTGACTTTTTGTTGAAAGACTACACTATCAATATAGCTTCTTTGCAAAATAATATATTTTTCAATAATGGCTGGCCTTTTTGCATAACTCGACGGTCAGAAGGCAAATCTCTTGAGAGTAATTATATCACTAGATAAAGTATACCTAAAAAAAATTTGTAAAATTAATGTAGTTCAGTGTCTTTAATAGTCACACACTATGAGAAGAAGGAAAGCACAACCAACGTAACCAGAAAACATTTCCTATGAGTTAGGGATAATCCACCTCAAATTGCCTACAACCCATCCACAACCAGTCAACTTACAGATATTCAAAAAACGAAATGAAAAATTGGAGATCACTGTCTTCTTCTCTGAAATTCACAATAGCATTTCTAAATTATCACTTGGTGTTTCTGGAGCAAGTAAAGAAACCGTTTTAGTGTGTGCATCTGCCTCAAAATTAAGCTTCAAGGGCATATCAGTTCTTCAGAACTAGGAACGTTTTTTACGAATGAATGAAACTTGCACTTGTCTCGAAAGAAACTGCCTATCTATACAGGATCTCCGTCAAATAAACAATAAATCATGCTGAGAAAAGTTTGTCGTCCAGCTAAAGTATAATATCGCAGTTGCAGCGTTGTTCAAACTAAATTATAAAGGGTGCGAAGTACTCAGCAAATATTTGTTGATATTCTAACTAAAAATGACTTATTTTTAACTCCAAAATCAGGCTGCTAAGCAATCGCATGCTGAATTCGCCTCACTGTGAAGTCAACTTTAAGAGTCTCAAATTAATTTCTAAATGTAGAGGACAGACTGCAGATCTAGGTTAATTCCCATGGACAGCAGTTGGCAGTTTTCTTTCATAATCATGATAAAAATTCATGCTACGATAAAGTTATGGCATGGGTTGCTATGTGGCAATCAATGCAGTGACTAACTTTCTTGAAGAATTTGTTAGCTTCAGTGGAAATACTCTGACTGTATCAACATTTTCGTATGCAGCTAAAAATTATTTTAGAGCCATCTTAGTGTTTCTGGCAATATTCACACTTATCAGATTTACGAACAATTTATAACCAATGATCAATGGCCTAACTTTCATTGTCAATTTATCCTTACACAGTGTTAGGTCTGTAAACGTATCAAAGAAATTTGTTCACTTCATTTATCTGCAGTTTCTATCATTTAAATATGATATTCAGATATCTTACACCGATAATTCGTGAAAAATAATTTAAACAGCGTCGCCATGCAATTCCGAAGGACTTTGAATACGTCCTCTCTGCATACACGAATCATTAGTAATTACAACCTTCAGCCTGTTCTTTGTGTTCAAAAACACTAGCTGCACTCACTGGCCTTAGCACAGCTACAGAGGTAATTTCCTTCTGTCGTAAGTGCCAATGGTTTGTTCTGCTCTTGGATACTTTTTTAATCACCTGACCTTACTGATTATTAACAAGTGGTTGTTTGTATCTAGCACTTAAAAATATGACGCAAAGCTTTTGCAAAGAAAATAGTCGAGATGAAAATTTTCTCTTCTTTTACTTCTTTCTTCTAAGATTTAAAGTAATCGGTTGTCTTACGCTCACTATTAATCGCTAAAATTGATTTAACCAAATGATATGTAACTTTTAAAGACATAATAAAAGTTTTATTCATCCAACATAATGTTAATATAGAAAACCTGAACTTTATCAGAAAGTACCTTCTTAGAAATGTTTGTCGTCAAGTCTTATGCCAACAAATTTAATCTTCCTGAAGAAGATCCCTGTAGTTATTACAGTGCTCATATGAATTAAATTCTTCACCTAGATTATCCTCGGTAGTGTGAATTGTAAAAAGTAGACTATTCTTTCTTCCATTAAACTTAATTTAGTTCCATTTTCATGGATAATGGAAGAAATAAGTGAGCAGCTAATCCAAAAGAATTACTAAGACTTCTGTATCTCATGTTTACATTGTGCTAGATGAAATATCTGATAGGGGGGAAAATGTTGGTTTGATTTTAGTATTCCCGTTTCATACGTTAATCGTTGACACTATGGAGCATTAGAATGCACCCTTTTACATCCTGCTGCAAAACAAGTTCTTCTTGCAAGAACATTTTTTTATCTACGCCAGCAAGTTTAATCACGGTGTCCACTTAGCCTAGGTGATATACATGTAGTGTACAGATGAATTAATAAGTCAGTCAAGAAATAAATAACTGAAAACAGTATCATGTATTGTAAATAACGTTCAAGTGTGACCAATATATGTTTCTCAATGCAGTTGTACGGTATGATTCATCATAGACTTATAAATCAGGCTGTAATTGGCATTTAATAAACAACTGTATTTCGTTATAATACGATTAATATTTACCTTTAAATTATGGCTGGTTTATTTAGTAAATCTAAGGTGATTATTTTTTGTTAGTCTCGTAATGTGACTTGTATTTATAGACAAGGTGGAATACTGAAGACTTGTACTAGATGTCTAGTGTTGTAGACATAAAATGAAGGACACTTAAGTCAACTACCTAAGGATGACAATTAAATTGCATTTTAGAGAAGATAGTAACTAATATTTATGTCACTAAGTAGGAAAATTTCATCTGTCTACTTATACACCCTCTTATACTTGTTGCCAAGCTGTTGTATACAATTTTACTAGCTTACTAGTAAATGATATTTCCTCTCCACTTTTAACGGTTTCATATTTATTTAATATATTAGTATGCAAATTAATTCACCAGACACTATTAAAAATAAATTCGCAAACTACTCTACCATTGATGTTTTGAAAAGGAATGAAAATAATAAATAAAATGTTGCTTATCGTCTGTGACACAGCACAAACAAAATTACTAATTTTAGTTGACTCTTTATATTCACAAACGTTTTCTTGTTTAATTTGGCTTGAAGAACGTTCATAGATAAAATAGCCTGTAGACTGTTTGTCACCACTCATTATCGAGCAAGATTTTTTATTATTTATACAAATTCAGTTTCTCATAAGATTTGAACCTGAGTCACAATTCTGAAGTTAGAAACTACAAAACGTACGCCTGGCAAGTCATGTTTAACTTACTTCGAAAGTTGACTGTTTAAATGAAATATTTACAGAGTAGTGACGATTAACTTAGCAGCTCCTCACTAATAAGTAAGGTATCAATCACGCCCTTTTAAAAATGTATTCCTTTTTAGAATTGATACGGAACGTTAGTTATTTTCACTATATCAGTAGATAGAGACACTACGAAATCACATAAGATGTAATTTATTAGGAGAAAGAAAGGTATTGAATTTGAGTCAAACAAAAAAAGTGTTATCGAAGGCAAAAAAGAAAACAACTACAGTTCATTGGATATTACACTCAAGTGAGAGTTTTAAAAACTGAATGAGGGAAGTATAATTCTGTGACCATTTGCACTGACGTACGGAACTCAAAATTATAAATCATGAGATCTTCAAGAATATATATATATATATATATATATATATATATATGTATATTGCATACTCAACCGTATGTCACTTTGTGTGCAATCTATAAAGTCTCAAAACTAGGATGATACAGTTTTCTATTCCTGTTAACCCCTTAACTTTCCTGCAACTGATTTCCATCCATGGTGATAGTGTTCTTGGATCGTTACTTCATTGTTCATCTTACAAATATTCACAACTTTTTGTGCTCCTTACGCACGGAGAAGCAACGATGCGTTGTTAAATGTGCTAATATTTATAATAAAAGAATAATAAAAAGTAACCAGTATAGTTACATTTTAGTGTACATTGGTACCGCTTTAATTATACGACTAGTAAAATGTAAATCCATGTTGACTTTTGGTTGGTTAGTTGGTGCATCTTATTACTGAATACTTCTGAAAGTAGAACTCATTTACGTTTCAGCTAGTTACCTGAGAATCTACGTTCAGAACACTTTATCTCACTAAATTTATCTGACTTTTTACTTGACAAGAAAAAGATTACACATCTTGCATTTGCATCACAACGAAACCATACTCATGAACCGATGAGTTATCACATCTCAATGCTCATCTAATGTGGAAATGAGGCAGTAAGCTTATGACTGCTTGTTCCAACTCTGCATTGTTTGTTTTGTTCAAACTCAGTCATCACTTCTATAAATGAGTACTTCGTCGAATTGAATTTTACCGATGTTTATGAACCGTTAGGTTGTTCAGCTACCTTGTCTGAAGCACCCTTAAGCAGTTGTTAGATTATTACTTCTTCTTGAAATATCTTAAGGCGCTGTAATTACGTAGTAACATATAAGAAACTATAAACCTTGATAAAATATACAGCTTGCTGTACCTCATTATAATGCAGAATATATTGTAATATCTGTCCATTTGGTTGCTCTGGTGCATCCCACTCGACTAATAAGCCATCAAGACCATCGCTGTTAACCAGTACATTGGGAATTCGGGAAGGCACTGTAATGTAAGATTTGGAATCAAAATAAACAAAAATGAAATAGACAAATGCATTATTGCGACCAGAATTAAATTTCAAACAAATTATGGGTTACGACCGAATTCAAGTCAGTACCGATTGGGTCGAAGGCTCTGACATAATCTAAGCTGTTTTCAAATGAATAAATCACAGTTTTCAACAAAAATCCTTCCAGTAACCAAAGCTATCACATATTATTATTTTAACAGGAAGAAATTAAACGGGATAAAATAACTAAATGGATGGGAGAAAAGCAGGCCAGGTTTTCTGAAGGTTCCTAAGAATAGAACTAAATGCGTGTAAAAACAGCCAATACTCTAGAAACTTCACCTTAAATCTTATTTGAGCAAAGTTTCTAAAGCCTTGGTGATAAATGAACCTTCTGGAAAAAGGTCTTTTTTTCGCATTTTTTCAATGTAAGTTGATTAGAAGTGACACGAAACATCACAAAACGGTTTAAAAGTGAGTTCCGAGCTTATTTCCTGTCCTGTTGTTACGTCTCAATTAGAACCACCTGCAGTATCATTCAGAGCTTAGTGTCTCAACATGATTACCTCATAAGTAACAAATTTATGAGTGTTGACCCTTGGCAAAGTGATCAGTCGTAAATTTTTCTCTTGAAGTCTGGTAAAAAACTCATCAACAGTTTAGATATATATGTGCAAAGTTAATTAAATCGTTTTACAAGGATCCTTCATGTTATCATTATTCGATTATATAACTGAATAATAATTTCAAGCCATACTGAAAATAAAATGGTTATTTTGTCATCTGAAAAGACTGAACAGTCAACAAAGTCCTCGATTCTATCCACTAATAGTAGTTAACCAAATTATCGCAAACAGAACCTTTAAAGAATCAGTTCATGCTGAGGCTTATACAAAACGTATTCGCAGTCTCTCATTTTTATTTGGCCGAGACGTTTTTCAGGTAGTTTCTTGAAATGAGTTTGTTTGATTGAACCAGACAATGATGTTAATTGAGTATGATATACATTGCAACGCAACAGTGTCCTCATTCTGTAGTTTTCAATGCTGGGTTTTTTAGAATACACACCAAACGTAATAGAACTTTTGTCATTAATTGAAGAGTAATCCGTACAGTAGAAATCTCTTCTTTAGGCAAGAGTTTTGCTGCTTATTAATAATTATAGTAACAATCACTTTATTCCAAACAATGTTTGGTAGAGCATGGAATTTTTAGCATGTAATTTACCAACAAGTCACTCCCAGAATAATATTTACAGACAAAAGGGTTATTGCATCTGAATGATGTTCATTACAACAGTATTCAGAGCAATATGGCGAAAGAGTCAACTGGTTTTGCATTAGCGTCTGGTTCATACTCAAGAATCAACAGAAACGCAAGCGAATGAGCTTTTCGCCACGTTAAATTCGTTGTTTAGATAATTGAAACTGCTTGAAAGGTGGAAATACTACTAACATTCAGTGAAGATCTATTGAACAAACTATCGAAAACAATCCCCATCAACGTTATCATTATTTATCAAATTATTATATTTGCTAAGGTTTTTAAGAAAGAAAAAGACCACATTAATAAACAGCATCAAAACGTCTCAAAAATTACATTCGTTTGTCTGTACAGACTCTTCAGAATTGTTAAGACTTTCATAATGAGTATATTTATTTAACGAAGGCTGGGAATGCTATCGCGGACCCATAGTTCCTAGATTTTAGGACGATCCATATGCTTTCCAGTGAAATGATACCCTCACTTCGGTTCGAAAGATTAAAAAAACGAATAACTTCACCCACAAGTATCGGAGCAGATATTATTATCTGTCCTTTGAGTTCCTAGTGGAAAATAGGGCTTCATAGCATGTCTCCAGTACACTCTGTTTACTGCAGTCTTCTGAACCTAGCTCCACGACCGCCCACAAGCTTTCATTTCTTCCTCACACAGTCTCCTCTATATTGCCCTCGGCTAAAACCCCCAACTTGTCGTTTCCCCATTGGATTCCACTAGACTGACCTGGCCTGGCGCGTGATGTCCCCGAATGGTCTTCTCAGTATATGGCCCATCCAATCCATCTCCACTTTCTTCTGAATATTTGTTGGGCGATGAGTTCATGATTGGTTCATTGCCAGCCAGAGTTTCTTGTTGTTTATTCTCATTATTCTGGACATATGATCTTCAGTATCAGTATCGACTGAGCGTAGGTGGCAGCTGTTTATGTATGACTGTAGTTTGTTGGAAATGCTGTTCGTAACGCGCCAAGTCTCTCAACAATCACAGAAAAGTACTAACGTGACTGATATTAGTGTTGAAAATCCGGATCTTGTTCCTTATGCTGAGTAGAGAGTAGTAGATCTCCACACTGATTTCAGATCAGTGAATGCCAGTCTTTCTTTTCCGATCCTGGCTTTGACATCCTCATCCGTGTCTGTGCCACCAGTAGTTGAAACGATGCCACGCTGTCTAGGTTGCTGTAGGTGAAAGAGACTACTTCATTAGGTTTCCCCGTTAATTGTGATCAGTGCTTGTTGTCGTTGTTGTTGGTTAGATATCTTCATCACCTCTGTCTTCTCCACGTTCACCTGAAGGAAGGCCCGTCTTCGCTGCCTCGCCTCTTCTATCAACTTGTTAGTTTCCGCCTGTAGATCCTCAAGTTTTGCCACAAGATATTAGACATAAATCATCGACATCGGCGAAATCCGAATCTCCTAGGGTCTTTTGATCGGTCCAGTGTATGCCTATCTTCTCGCTCCCACAGTGATTTGAATGATCTAGTCCGATTCAGTGGACTACAATCAGGAAGACCATGAGGGATAATATGCAGCCCTGTCTTACTCTTGTCTTCACTTTGAAGGCATCACCGAGCTTCCCATTGGACAGTCCACTTCCATTCCATCTGCTTATCCCTAGCAGATTCCTAGCCTAGCAGTTCAATGCTATACTTTCTAATCTCTTCAGCAACCTGGGTAGCCTTGATAGGTTCAAACATTCCAAGTTCTCATGTTTACTTTCGCTTTCATTGAGAGGAGAGAAGACACATCGGCCAGTTGGCTTCTCGACATCATTTCACCTCTCCGATTCCAGCGAGGAATAATTGTGTTTTTATTTTTTATAATTTCTTTGTGCTTAAAAGTTTATTCAGTGATTGGATTTGTTATACGGGGTAGGGTTGCTAGCCCTTTGCCCAAACGTCACTCTTTACCCGAGGTTAGGACCGGCTAGTAACTAGTGAACTAGTAAACTGGGCGAGGTCGACAAAGTGGTAGCGATCGTTTTAAAAGAGATATCTTTCGTGAGTCAACCACCTAGCATAAAATGCTTTGATGTTCAAAATATGTGCGTTTGGTGTGAGTCACAATGCGAATACGTTTGACGTCCTTGTGAGTCTAACTCATCTGTCTCATATAGGAATTAATGTCTTGCCTGGATTTCACGGATAACCATTAATAAATAGATGCAAATTGTCTATCACTAAGTTACTGAGCAGTTGCTGAAAGGCTTCCAGCTGATTGACTATAAACATCTAGTATATAAAAATAGTGCTTTACGGTGCGATTTAAATTAGCTTATTAGCTATAGTGTAAACGTGGTCATCAGAGTCCAGTCAGCCATAAGCACTCAGAGTTAGACAACTTCACCGATTATCCACTGATGTCCAACTCATGTAAATAATCTAGTCTTACATGGCGTCATTCCTGAACTGAATTGTTTATTGGCTGTCTTTCACTTCAGTACTGAGTGACCTAGGTTCTAAATAACAACAGTTTCCTTACGTTTGCAAACATCCCCTACTGTTTAATGTCAAGAAGAACGAAACACGAGTCCAGAGTTTCCGGCTGATTTACAGTCAGTCACTAAAACAACAAGTTAATGTGTATAAACTCATTACAGTATCATTAAAAAGGAATAATTAAACCATTTCACAAATTCGGTACTTACCATCTTCATGTGTACGAAATACTTCAGCTGGTTCACTGAAAGGACCAATTTGATTTGAATAAACATAGGCAATATGCATTTCATACAAAGTGTACGCATTAAGCAATTTTAAGATAATTACTACGTGATGATTGTTCTTTTTTCTCCTCCTTATGAACGAAAAATTTCCATGCAGGTTTATCTCGTTACAAAGGAAACTATCATTGATTCCAATGCCATTTACGCTCAGAGTACTTCTTGTATCAACGTTACCTTTTCCAACACACTTTAGGGGTAGGAATAAGTGTGAGCCAAAACAACCTGGCGGATCGATGCAATTTAGTTTATCTGAAATACAAACGTTGAAAGAAAACATAATTGATAAGAAGACAAGAGTAGAATAAGAGAATACGTTAAAATAGAGGTATCAAGAATAAGAAATGGAGGGAATATAAATAACGACGCAACTAATCAATCTAAAGAAAACAGTAAAAATTGTATTTAACTCAGTAGCACAGCTAAGTGAAAAATAATCCTGACGACCAACTAAAAAAAGGTGTTTCACTATATTCTCTGGTTGTCTACATTTTATGTAAATCAGGGGATAGACTGACGAGAACAAGATAGCTGACGGAGTTAAACAATCGAAATATATTTTAACAATTGAATGTCAAATTAAATAGTCACAAAATGTATTATTTTGTCGTGTTTTCTACTGTTTGCAGTTTTTCATTGCGTGAATCCGTCTGATTAAACTTCCGCCTGATTGACTGACGAAATGTACATGATAGTTTTCCGTTCACTGTAAATATGCTTAAAAGGCATAGAGATAAGATACATAATGAACTAGTCACATGAATACGTTGTATGTCTACTAATATGCTTTCCTCTAACGTTTCCTCAATAATCTGTAGTGTTTCTTTTAATAGATGTTATTTTTCATATTGTTCATAGTTCAAATGAAGCTTGGATGTTTCTATAATCGGTTAACCGAACTAGTTCTATCAACCAGTTTTGAAACGATGGCTTTGCATAGGCTTTTTTTCGGAATCACTTTTTTTGGTGTGTGACGAATAGTTACTGTGCTTTATTTTCGTCAGCATGATGTCTCACATCTTAAAAAGAAACCCTGTACCATATTTTTTGTGCATCAGTTTTTGAGTGATATTTTAATTCACTAGTCTCCCCCAATTACCATTATTCATGAATACCGTGGAATCAGAATTGTGCGGATAGGAAATCTGGTTGGTCCCAGAGAATATTTCGCCTTCATCCGTCTTTGTGATTTACAGATTACAAATCTGTGTCACAGATCCGATTAGCACTAAATAATTACTCTGCTTATAGACTTCGACAAACAATAAAAAGGCATAAACTGTCTTAGCTCTTTATCGAAGTTTATATGGAGAACTAATAGTTTCTGAACTTTGTTTAGCCCATTAAGAGTATGATCATGGTCCGAATAGCTTATCGATAAACTTTCTAAGTTTTACACTTACTGACGTCCAGTCTGGTCTGAGGAATTATGAATATCCTCAACATTTGGAGGCACAATAATTAAGAAACGCAAGTGCGATGCTGACTGAATCTTAGTAACTAGAATTAAAGTGATGGCAAGGCCAATCTTTTTAATTTTTTAACCAAGTATTTTAGCAATAAGTAAACCACCTTGTTCACTTCTCTATTTATCATCCAAGCTGATAGTTCTGATATTTCCTAAAAAAATTTTAAGACCACTTGAAAGTGTGAATAAATGCCTTCAAATCTTACAAGTATGTGGAAATACATAAAAATAATTTTTTCTAAATATCGCCTATGCTCATCCACCTATTCATTGATTCCTAAATTAAGGGCTTAATCAACAGAGAGGAAATCAATTCTCAAGACATCAAATGCTACACAAATACATGACAAGTGAAGAAGCTAAATTACATTTAAACAGAAAACCAAATACAGAGATATGCTTACTAGAAAACCTTCAACACCCTCTATGAAATATTCATCTTCATTTAAGTAATCACTAGGGAAAGAAATCTCAACTTCGTTTGTTTGGTGAACAATAACCGATAAATGCGACGGTATTTTTGTTAGTGGTTGTTGTTTTGTTTGAACACGAAGAACTTCGGAATATTTTCCACATCCAAATTCGTTGCAAGCTGCAATCTGTGAAATATGAAATGTATGCAATCATTATATTAGTATACAGCATATATTACTGTAGATCAAAGACCTCAGAAAATAAACTATTGTTTGCTGGAAACGTTTTATTCAAAAAAGTAAACATGGGACATGGAATGTGCGCACCATGTATGAACCTATCAAGGCTGACCAGATCGCAAAAGAGATGAGGAGGTATGGCACAGAAGTGCTAGGCTGGGAATCTGCAACGGATAAGCACGTGGAATCGAAGTGACCTCTACAAACTCTCAACTGAAGAGTCAATGATTCACTCCAATATTTTCACCAAGACGACAACCACGAGCACACTGAGTTCTTGAGTGGCTATCATCATGTCCCCATGAGCATCGAAGACTCTCTCTCTCTCTCTCATGCAGTAGGAACCAGTCTTTTCCTGCAGGATCATGACAGCAAGGTTTAACTGAAAACGAAGCGAGGTCACAATCATACAATGCTACTGTACGCACCTAAAAATAATACGGATCAAGAGAAGAAGGTCGGATACCATAGACAACTTCAATGAGAACTCGGAGCAGACAACACAGGAAGAGAACCAGTCATGGGTCGAGAAGCACTCAGTGGAATGATGAATGAGAATGAAGAACTGTTTGCAGACTTCTGCACATTCAACGATTTGGTGATTGGAGTGAGGCAGTGTGTACAAACATTCAATCATTCATTCACAAAGCAACATGGATTTCACCAGATGGACACGCCAAGAATCAGATCGACTTCAATTGAATGTGAAGAAAGTGGAGATGCAGCCAGCCTACTGGACACAAGATCAGATGAAGAAGGTGAGCAGTGAGCATATGTGGGTGGTTGACACCACTCACTATCCAGTGCAAGGAACCCACCTTCAAAATCAAGTTGGGAGCCTTCAGAGTAGTTGGTGATAGACGACCACAGTTGAAGTTGAACAGGCAGAACGGAAAGTGCAGGACGAGACTACACAGGACATCTTCACATCAGTCATCAGAACAAAACGGGAGACATTGAGCAACATCCCCGGAAGAACCTGTGTGGAAGCACACTGGAACTCTTTTTACAGAGATGTGGAAAGAGACCTGTATAACCGTATTGGGAAGGAAGAAGTAGAGGCAAGACAAGGAATGGATCTCGACGGACACATGGAAGCTGATAGAGTAGGAGAGGAGGATGGTGAAGCAGAAGATAAACCAGTGCAAGGATGAACGACAAGAAGAAGAACTGAGTGCAACCTAAAATAACACTACACTGGACAAAGAAGTGAAGAAGAGCGCGCTAAAAGACAAAAGACACTTATATGACACATTGGCAAATGAAGCAGAACAGGCTGCTGGTAGGAGAGACCCGACAACATTATATCGAATAACCAAGTTACTGTATGGGGAGAGATCAACGCAGACCGAGCCAATGAAACATAGTGAAGGAAGTCTAATCACCAAAGAAGAGGAACAAAGGAAAAGATGAGCTGACCACATTGAAAAGCTCTTGAATCGACCACCACCTGCACTTCATCCGAAAATACCACCTACAGCCACAGAACCACCAGTGAACACAAGCCCTCCGAAAAAGCAGAATTCCTTAACGCCATAAAACTGCTGAGATTCGGGAAAGCAGCAGGACCAGATGGAAGCCCGCCAGAAGCACTGAAAACAGGAGCAGAGACAACAGCGGACAACCTCACACCACTATTGCAGAAGGTTTGGAAGGAAGGCAGGAAAGGTAGCTGCCGATTGGAAGAAAGGATGCCTTGTCAAACTGCCGAAGAAGGGAGATCTAAGTCTTTACAAGAACTGGCGCCGAATCATTCTGCTGTCCACCCCAAGCAAAATATTGAGCCACATCATCCTGGAGAGACTGAAGGATGCGCTGGATTCAAAATACGATCGGAACAGGCTGGATCCAGGGAGTACAAATCATGTGCAGATCAAATTGTAACGCTATGCTACGCATCATCATGGAGCAGAGTATAGAATGGCAGTCAACCCAACTCAACCTGAACTTCATCGATTTTGAAAAGGCCTTCGACAGCGTCGATTGAGAAGTGATTTGGAAACTTCTTCAACACTACAGTTTTAGTGACACAAACCTCTATCAACCTCATTCAACAGCTATCTGAAAAAGCCACATTCCGAGTGATTGAAAAAGGATAGCTCGGTGATGCCTCTGAAGTGAAGACAAGAGTAAGACAGGGCTGCATACTATCACCCATGATATTCCTGATTGCATTCGACTGGATCATGTACGAAACCGTGTGCAGCGAGTAGTGGGTGATATGCTGGACCGGGGAAAAATCCTAGAAGATTAGGGTTTCGCCGACAACTTGTGTCTAATGTCACACAAACTTGAGGATCTACAGGCGAAAACTAACAAGTTGATAGAAGAGGCGAGGCGGAGAAGGAAGAATTCCTTCAAGTGGATGTAGAGAAGACATAGGCGATGAAGATATCTAACGAACAACAACAAAAACAAGAGGCACCAGTCACCATGAATGGGATAAGCCCAAAGGAATTAGTCTCTTTCACCTACCTAGGCAGCGCTGTTTCAACTAAAGGCGGCACAGACGAGAACATGAAAGCCAGGATCTGAAAGATAGCAAGACAGGCTTTCATTGACCTGAAACCAGTGTGGAGACCTACTGCACTGCACTCAGAACAAAGCGTGAACAAGATCCGGATTTTCAACACCAACGTCAAGTCAGTGCTTCCAAATGGTTCAGGGACTTGGCGCGTTACGAAAGACATTCCCAACAAACTATAGACATTCATCAACAACTACCTACACTCGTTACTGAAGCTCAAATAGTTGAAAAGAATAAGCAATCAGGAACTCTGGCTGGCTGGCAACGAACCAACCAACAACCTATCACTCAACAAATATGCAGTAGAAGGAAGTGGAGATGGATTGGGCATACACTGAGAAGACCATTCGGGACGTCACGCGCCAGGTCTCCAGTGGAATCCAAAGGGGAGGCGGCGAGTTCGGCGTCCATGGTGAGGGTGACATAGAGGAAATCGTGTGAGGAAGAAATAAAAGCTTGTGGGCAGTCGTGGAGCCAGGTTCAAAAGATTGTAGAGAATACAGTGCATTGGAGACGTGCTACTGAGGCTCTATGTTCCATTAGGAACCCAAGGTACGAATAATAATTAATTCTATGTATGTTTACGCTGTCAACGGATAAAGATATACCTTGAAACCCTACATTCTTTTTATTTTATAAACTTGTTTCTTCTTGCTTTGATGAAAATTGTTTTGCGTAGGGAGAACTAAGAGAGGTACATTAACTGCCCAATCTCAGGCCACAAAGAGGTCAAAAAAGTGGTACAAATAATAACTAGATAAGTTGGTTTCTTTTTTTTTATCCTCCCTTTTTCTTTCCAGTTTGTAGTCAGACGATAACGAGGAAGAAGCAGTGAAACTTGGATGCTGTGGTGAGGTATGTGTCCTTATTTGATCCCATGTAACCATTGTAAGGTCAAGTGCATAGGTTAAAATGGACGATCATGGTCAGTCAGTATAATTGAACACAAGAATTCAGTGAAATATCTTTCAATCTTTCTGCATATATTAACTGAAGAATCCTTGGACTACATACGTGAAGACTGTAAATTGGTTGGTTACTTTGATATGGTTGTCAACTATAAATTACTCTCTGAATGTCATCCAGTAAGTAATATTGTATCACTGCGTACTATATGAAATAAACAATTAAATATGGATAAGGAGGATAGCTAACCACCGCTGCATAAAGACACAGACTGTCAAATTAATTCATTTATCAATACTCTTAGATATTTAGATGCGATAACTATTGCTTTGACTCTAAAATTCCGGGTGATTTCAGATGATTTTTCAAAAACGTTCATGCCAAGACTAAAAATATTAGTTGGCTACCAGTTACCATTCAGTATTTTTTAAGTGCGTTTTAAGACACCTAGTCTATGCCTCCAGCAGTAAATTGAAGTCATAATAAGTGTGTTAAAAATTTGAAAGTATCTCTTATTTTGACATACAAAACTGCAACTTACAGAAGAGTCACTTTTGATGCACTGATATTTCTCAAGCATATATTCAATATAATGTACATTAATTACCACACATTTATACAAACTGAAATTTTGAACATTAAGCCTCTAAGCTTTTCACTCAATTTGTGCAACGTTGATCGACTTACCTTAAGGTTATATTGAGTCATTGATCTCAAACCAACAAGTTCATCTTGGTTGACAAAATGTTTTACATTGGATATCTTTTTCATCGCCACTGAATCGGTGTTCTCAATCCAATGGTATAACTAGAAACAACAAAGGATAGTATTATTTCTGACATCCTTGATATACATGACCACTACAAAACAAGTTTATAACAGTTAAACATTGATAAAACGTGTGAACGACTTGAAGCAACTGACAAAAGAAAAGATGACACCGACAGTAGTGGCAACAACAATCATTTTAATAAGCAGGGACGGTTCATAAAATAACGAAGCACATTTGAAAATGAATGGCTGAATGTAGTGCGAACTCTCTCAAAAGAATGTAATGTAATATAAGAGATTTATTTCGGCGAATGTGAAAGGTTTTCACCTGCAAAATTTTACTCTTGTAGATAAACGGAAACTAAGTAAGCCATAGAAAAACATATAAATGATGTGTGTAGACATCTCGTTTTGTTAGAAATATTTCAGTCTTACAAAAGAATGGTACCATGCCAAGTACGAAAAAGTTATACTTATCGTGGACTTCTCTCTAAGATGGCTACTTGAAGGTAATCGGTTTTTAGTGCCGTGACTGACCTCCTGTAGGACTGGGTTACATACATTGGTTGGCTTTGGGAGGGCAACCAGTTTCACGTCTTCTACTTTTTAGTAGGATGTATGAGGTCACTGTTTGTATAAGGCGAAGACGTTCACAAGGTTTCCCAGTATCAGCAGTAAGTGTAATCCATGAAGCAAATAAGTAATTTCTAATTCGTAAAAATCACCAAATAAGACAGCGAATCGAAGGAGAAAGGTAGTGATATATAGGCATTTCAAAATTAATCTCCAGAAGTATATATAGTTCAATAAAAAGCGTTTTTCTGTCTTTGTTCAAATAAATTCAAAAAACACATAGTCGCTGTGAGCCAAAAAAGGTGAAATAGTTAAACTCACTTGATATTCCTTGATAGAAGCTAATGATACTTGTGTTTGTATTGAGTGTTGTGAGCCAAATAATTTCAATACACGTATCCGTTACATTAACTAGGTACAAAGTTATAAACATTACTGGCTGAGTGGCGTTTGAAACAAAGTCCTGAGGAAAGTCTGGTTTAAAATAATAGCATTAATAATAGTTTCGTCTTTTATTGTAAAAAAAAAAGGAAAGAAAGAGCGTAGACGACAACATAAGGGAAAAAAGACTAAAAAAGAAACAAAAGGGTTGCGGTAATACCGTCTAGCCAATAGAAGGCTGAGGGAGGAGTAGGGCTTGAACGTATTCTTTTTGAATACAAAGTTCAGGCTTCGTTGATCTCATGGCTACAGCTTACGTTATATGGAGAATGCGAAGACGAATGGCACATAGTAGAGTCTTCGGGAAATGATATATCACACAGAAAGCTATACTAGTGTCCTTTTGGTGTCATGTACCTATTAGATATGCTAGTACAGGATTTCTAATGGATTAGATCTCACCTTTGCAAACCATGCCAGTTGATGTTCTCGTATCCTGAGACGGATGTGTCTAGTAGTGCGCCCTATATAATTTGCTTCTGAGGAACATTCGATTTTGTATATGCATGATGATGAGCTCAAACTAGGCAAGGCGTCCTTAAGTCTCTGGTTGAACAATGGTTAGCTATTAGAAGATAGCCATAGACGTCCTGATTAAGACGTTCTATTCATTGTTCCGGATAGACGTTGTGATAAAATTTCACTCGGTGTCTCTTTTACATTGCAAATGAAGAAACCACAGTTTTTTTCTGCGTGCCTCTCAATTCTTATGTTCCGTTTAATATAGAATGACAGACCCAAATAACATCAACAATCTAGAAAATATTCAGCTATTGCAGTCCATATACTAACACAACTACACGCTTTGGCGAGATAAAGCCAATATACTTTAGTCCAATAAATTAGATGGAGAGAGAGATTGATTACTTAGTCATTATTCATCAAATCAACACTCAACACATGTAACTGGAATGATGCAACACATACTGGAGATATAGACAATTTTACTACCAATAAAACAAAGAATATGAGTTGACAAGACTATAGGAATCGGATGTTGAAATCGATGTGACTGCTTTGAGGTATGATTATGAGCATCAATTTATGCTCGAAATATCAAGTAGATAATACTGTATCACTGCGTGTTATAAATCAAATAAACAAAATACGGAATTTCATTCTACTACAGTGCTCAAAATTTACACTTATATTAACTGCTTCGTTTTCTGAACAAAAGCAGTGGTAAACCTCAAATATCTGCCATAAATTACCGTTTTGAAGTGTCTCCGATTCTATAATAGTTAGCTAAGTCTATCTCCGTGCCTTGATAAAAATGTCACCCATATACTGGAAAAAAATTCATGCACGTCTAACAAGTCATTTTGTGATTAAAAAAGAAAGTTAAAAACTGCAGCATGTGACTTTCAGACATTTACCATCTCATCTTAATTTCAATCCTTTTAGGCATTAAATTGCCGTTGAGCTTAAAGTTCACATCTACTAGATTTCGTAAACGTTGGAATTTCATCCTACTTTGTATAAAATAGAATCAAACTGAAGATTTGATATGCACATGTGTCAAGCTAAATTCATACTCCGAATTTCCGTAGGAAACCTTCAATCATGTAATATTTTACAGTCCACTTACTCATGAACTTGCGGTTAACACATTTCATAATGTTTTTCCGTTATCCCAAAGTAAGCAAACTCTGCTAATATGACCAATATCATGGCACAGCTTCCTAGCATTTTAGAACTTCAAATTACCCAGTAATAAATGTTAAATTAATAATAATCTCTAGAAACAGTAGCCCAGGAATGTTAAGGTGCAGTAACCTTGAAATTCAAAACGTTAGTATATACAATTTCATGAGAAAATAATTAAACTTAACAGTCATTTACCTTTAGGCGTGTTAGACACTGAATAGAAAACAGGATAAGATTTTTTACTCCATCCAAGGAAATTGATTGCAGATAAACTGAAACAGTATGAACCAGTAAAAAAAGTTATTGATTCACTTTTAATAATGAACATATAGCGCTGGGTGGTTAAATTTTTAACAGTCTGATTTACTGCTATAACACTGAACAGCTGCCATTCATTGTCCTCAATCCTTTCACACTCTGAAAATGAGATTAAAAAAGATAATTAATGATTTCTAGATGGATATTTCGCTCCAAAAACAATGTAATTCATTCCTCAAGAGGAATTTGGCTTGATTTTTCGGTAAATATCCAGAAACCATGTGCTTTGATGATCATCTACACAATAAACATGTGCAGAAGATTGAAAGAATGGAAATTTAAACACTTTAAACTTTTTGCATCAGAAATCCACCGTGTCATAAGATCACTTCTGTCAGTAAGAAAATAACCGGGATATCAGAAGTCTGAGAACTTCAACGTTCTATAGTGCTATTACGCTTAACAGCCTAAGAATATGCGGCATTATATATAAATAGTGTTTCTTCTCATAAATAGATGGAAATCAATTTTGCTATTCTGTGCTGACTGATACCCAGATTAAAGAAACATTAACAATGAACAGCCGTCTTGAAAATATAAAGTCGTTCTCATCAGTTGTGTGACTAAAATGGTGAAGCACCAAAAGCTTAATCAGTTGATGTGATTCCTTTGATGGTTTCATTGCTTATATATGACACATAAAACCGACTAAATCCTTAATAAAAACTTAACGATATAGGTTTGGTCGAAGGTAGCTTTTCATGACCTGAGTTAGATTTGCCCCTAGACCCTGCACTGAGAACCTTCATAAATGTAACTATGTGGTATTTTTAAGGATATTTCATGGACAGTTTTTCCTTAAATTATATAACGTTTGATGACTAAAATGAAAGAGGATATAAATAGTTTTTTTAGAAATATGTAAACATAAAATATATAACAGCTGTCAACAAACCTTCATATTTATTAACAAACTAGTTAGATATCCGGATGGTACTCAGATAAACAGACATCCTTAACACCAAGAAGAAAAAAAATAACAGGTCTTCAAGAAGGTATCTGTCAGTAAGGATGAAACCAAAGTCCAAGGTGTCTTGTCAACTGTAAAATTAATTGCTATATCTAAGTAAGAGACAGACCAAATGCTTGAGCAAAGCACTCTTATTCATAAATCAATAGGCATTATTCCATATCCAGTGCAGAAGTATGATTACAGTTGCATTTTTCTAAAAGCATAATTTACCCTTACTACAACACAAACCATTGAAATGTGTTTTCACTGCAATAAATTTATTTCTCTGTCTCAATTATGAATGTTGTATGAAAGAGAAAAAGAGAATGAATGAGCTAATTCAAAAAAAGGGACCTATTCATTTCACAAACATTACATTCCCTTACTCAAAGTTCATTATTGCATGCAGGCTAAACACCAAATGCTTGGAATTATGCGGTAGTCATTCATGTTGAATAATCAAATAGATCTTAGCGCAGTTTATTTTTCGCTGAATTAAAGAGCTGTCAGAAAAATAAAGTTTTCTCGTGGTTTGTAGTTTATCAGCTTTATTCGGAAAGTATTAAGTGGTTGGTTATCAAGACTATGATAGTTTACAGTTAAAGGTGAATTGTGTTTTTCTACATTCTACTCTTATGTTCAATTTTGAAACAGACACGTTTTCTGGCTGTTATAAACAAAGCTTTCCATATAATGACAGTCATTTCATCAATTTAAAGTAAACATATGGATTTTCGTATTCACAGTATACCTTCAAGTCAATACATATGGAATAGTGACGACATAAATTAAACATTTTGTCTTCGGAAAGAATATAGGCATAAAAGTGTCTCACGCAAGTACAACAGACAACTGGAATTTCCTTTCTAATGTTTAGATAGATATCCGATGTTTTGGCTTTGTCTATTAACCAACTTTTTCTCTCTGTCTAAGTAAAGAATACATCGAGTAAACTGCTTTGTACTCCCATGTGATTAGTTTCCATGTAGCCCCAGCAATCCAAGTCAGATTACACAAGTTTATCACAATAATAATCCATAAGTTTTGTTTTACCTCATCTCGTACATAGTTATCGCTTGGCAGGTAAAAATAATGGTTGCACAATTATACGCTACATACCACTTAGTCATTCGAAAGGAATTCGAACTCGTATTTTACATACAGCAGAGGCTGTGAAATTTCGAGTTATGAATCTTGATATTTATATTCAGAAGACGTTTTTACATCCCTTATTTCTACCTAGCCAGGGAATACTGAATAAACAGCTTTATGACTGGAAAGCTTCCTATCCGTTCCTTATTCTTCTCCCCCTTTCATGTACTTACTAAATTTATTTGAATTTTGTTTGTCTACCTACTTCGTCCTTGCGTTTTGCATAACTCTTATTCCCCCGAGCTTTCGAACTACTTTGATTATAAGGATGTTTATATTTTCATGCTGTTTTCTTGGCTCTTGCCATCAATATCATCTATATGAGAACTACTTTAGTCAACGGCGTCAACGTTATCATTATTGTGATGGGAATTTGTAAAGAATGGTAAATACAGAGGTTATGTCACTTTTATATTGTGTCTACCAGATGGGCGGCTGTATATAGCTTTTGATGGATTTCATTGTTCCTTTGCCTAACTACGCTGCGCAATCTTCAGTGAAGCGATGATGGCCTCACCGGCTTATTCTGTCTCCACAAGTGTAGTTAAACTTATAAATGCACACAGGTGAACATACACTCGGTAACTTATCTTTCAATTACATTGTTATCATATGGCGAATAGTAAATCTCAAGCAATGTGTAATGGAAAGAAAAGTTTTTTCCATCAGATTTCATTATTATTATTTCTTTTTATTATCACCATTATTTTACAACACTTGTCACAGTAATCAAGCAGTCTACATGATTGTTATTTTGACACTTGTAATTCCCCATTGCTTTGCATGGTGGAAATGCTCAACCTCTGTTGACAGATGGGCTGCTATGCAGACGCCTTGATACTGCTAGATGTTCATGATGTTGGACTCACCTTGGTGATTAGTAACAAAATCCAGGAGATGCATTTCCCCTTATTTAGGACTCATCAACTGGGTGTACCTGCACGCTAGTGAGTGGTTTTGTTTCCACTGATAATCAAACTCAGTACCCACTGCGTTATCCCTCAGGCCACTTGGGCACTGCAGTTAACACTTGTGTAATGGGTATCAGTGTTGCTTGATACTTGTAATTCTTCGTTGGTATACAGCGTCGAAATGCTCAATATATGTTGGCAGATGGGCAACTATGCAGATGCGTTGATACTCCCAGATGATCATGACGCTTTTATAATCTTAGTGACTACCGGTGGAATCCAGGATGAAATGCGTATCCTAGATTCCAAGATGACTACAGTATCTACATGATTCGTTTAATTTCTACATATATTTAGTTATTTTAGAGCAAAGCCCGATAATAATGTAAATGAAAACAATATTTTTAACCTAAATATCTTGTTGCTAAAATGATACTTTAGATAACATAAAAGTGACTATCCAGAAAACAGTTTCAAAATTTGTCTTTCATAGTCTTCAGAACTATGTGGCTCTAAAGTAAACCTTCGAAATAATTTTATACGTTTCACCAGACGAAAAAAGTCAAAATATACACTGAAGATATCAAGATTTTCAAGTATGAAAATTTAGATCTTTACTGAATTAAAGCTGTTATCACTTTTATTTGCTTTAAAATTGACCAGTAACTAATAAGCAGAGTGGTGTGGGAACTAAATAGTTTACTTTGTTAAAAGTGAGATATCGCATCTGCTAATCAACGGTCGAAAAGTTGTTGATATTATACAGATAAACTATAGTTTACTATACTACTTAAGTCACAGTATAATAATTTAGACAGGGGAACTATTTCTATCTGTTCAAAACTCAGAATGAAGAAGAATGGTGTAATCTATGATAGTTGATTTGGACCAACTGGCAGGAGTACTTGAACACAGGTTTTAAGCATGCTGATAATCGTCAGTAAGATGCATCTGGAACCGCAAGGAAACTGATATCTACTCAGAGATTTAAACCAGCATTGTTTACTGCTGCATTCAACTATTTCAGAAAAGATTCTGTCTAAAGCATTGAGTAATACAGTTTTGAAACTTTGAGGGAACATCAATCTCTTGTGAATTTGAAGATAGGCCTTGTCAGTGAACGCTGACAAACACGAAACCCAGGTCCATAGCTTCCTGAAGGCGGTCTTTAACGAAATGACATCTGTAAAGGGTATTTCCGGTGGTAATTCTGTCAGCTTGTTGATCATATAAAATGATAGATGGAGAAATTAGTTAGCAATTAGGACCACACAACATTACTCTTCAGTGACCAATAAATAAATGGTCAACTTGAGAAACGACGATAATCTACCATTTTATGCATGATATAGTTTTGTAAGGAAACCAGGATTTTCGTTCTAGTGTTATTGACCCGATTACAGGATACATTGCTCTACTAAAGGATGAAATAAATCTACGTCTTTATCAGTACCAACTTAATCTTACTCTCTGACTAAAGAAATCTTTTCCTTTTTTGCCCAGATAACACTTCTGTTTCAGTTAGTCAAATGTGTGTTTTAATACCAAGTCTTGTGTCATCTTGTTTGATTTTCAGTGGTTGACTGCCGATGACCTATCATGAGATTAGTATAGTGTTACCAATTTTAAGTAAAGTGAAAACAATATTTATTGAATGTTCACAATCAAAGCAACATCATGTATGTATCTAAACACACATTCATGAATTATGCGAAAAGCAAAGGAACAGAACTGATAAAAATAATATTTACTTTTCTTCGCTGAACTAAATTGACTGTGTAGTTTATGGATATATATAGCATAATGTGTAATCTTCAGCTGATATGTTGGTTGTGGTTGTATCCAAGATAACTGCACTGAACTACTGTTATGATGACCATATTCTTCATGGGGAAATTCACTGGAGACAGACAGATCGACAGGCATCATTGGAAGTGAAACAACCTATATGTTATTCACAAACAAATTAAGAGACTTTATAGTTGTGAGTAGAAAATTAAATTGGTTGAAAGATTTTTAAGCTTGTCCAGGGGAGAAAATGTGACAGGTATTGCACAAAGGGATTAGATCTCAGTTTTTCACAGTGCTCAGATGACAGAAAACGACTTAGATATTTCAGACACCAGTCAATTCCTAAAAAATATAATGATATCCATTTTAATTACATTTCATTTCCATTATTTTATTTTCATTGCTCCTTATACTGGAAGAAAAACGACCAGTAGCAAAAAGTTATCAGACACAATCTCAACAAACTACGGGAAGAATGAAATTTTCCAGGTGAATCTGCCGACTCTCCAGAATTTTCGGTCGAATAGTATGTATAAATGCAGAATTCTATCAAAACTCTCTTACTTTTGTTTAAATTTTTTTGGATTTTCCCTATACAGAACAGATCACTGCTTATTGTTCTGCTCACTTGTTTTTCCAGCCAACAAGGATTATTTAAATTCGTAACATCTCATTATTAGGTATTTATGCTGATTAGCTTTAAAACTTATAAAGTGGAATTCATTCGTCACATTCTGCCGAAATATTTATTCATATCATTGCTTTTAAGATACATAAGAATAAAACCATAAATTAGAGATAAATAATACAGTTGATAAAATATTTGATGAATATTCAGTTTCGATAAGTGCCTTCGTAAATACTCCAGAAAAGTGTATGCACTAAATTTCTTTGAACAGCCTACACCATACATATCATATAATCGCCTTAAAAGAGCTAAAAACCTAATATTTTACAACATTTGGTTCTCTAAAACGTCGTTACTGCATCTCCTAATGCTTTTACGCTTCATTTACAAACGCAATTGGGTTCTGACCAGTTTCTTTGAATTTCTCGTTAATATTAAGATTGTTTGTTCATTGCTTGCAACACTTCTAGCAACAATTAATATCATCTCCGAACTGGTATTTTTGCTTTGTAACTTGTAGACAACATTGCCCATTTCATGCCTATCTAACATTTAATACCTTGCTAAAGAAAGTCTCATCAAAATTGGTAAAAGTATGCAAATCCTGTTAGTCTGATTTACTTACTTTTAATTCTGTTTTCAGTGTATAATTACCACCCGGTGAAATTATTTCACACGCGTAAAACCCTTGATGTGATGAATGAACACTACTAACGTGTAGAATCGATCCATATTCCTTCAAATTATTAAATCTCTGATTAATATTTGGAACTTGATGGGTAAAATAAGTGATGACTGGATCTATCGATGCCCCATTATTAAGATTAGAACTTGCATTCCGCCTAGTTTTCTTGTTGTACAACCTCTCATCACTATTTATTTCATTTGTCGAAACGCGTATATTAGATTCTTTTCTTCCTTGAAACCAATTGATCTCAGCTACAGCATGCTGGTCAACATAAAAAGAGCATGTTATAGATAAGCTTTGATTAGCTAAGACAGTTATTGAACTTGGCAGATGATGGACTGGCGTTGTGCGAGCTGGAAATAAAGTAGACATAATTGATAAAAACACCTCTACGTTTAAAAACGTTGAGTGGTATATTTTCATATCAGACTAAAATCCATCTTTGAGTGATGTCTTACGCGACAGTGAAGGCTATTCAAGGTATTTTTGACCAGTGCAACAGATAAGATCTGAAAACAATACAAAATGAGTGTGCTAACAATAAAATTAATACTAGTTCGATTCAATGAAGATTTTGGTTCTGTATATTCTCTTTAAATTCATGTGAACTTCCTTTTACTTTTTGGAAGGCATCACCAAGTTACCCCACACAGTAATCTTAAGCAAACTAATGGCTTGAGTTGAAGCAACAAGATTGCAGACTTCATGGTATATCCAGAATTTTTCTAGGAATATGCAACTATGGCTTCAATGCTTAAGACATAAAAGTATACAAAGGTAAAACTATCTCAGTGGCATAACTAGCTGTTTATTACTCAGAATTTCAGTCCACTTCTACTTTAGAAGCAACCATTTCGGCAGTTCGAGTGACAAGCATGTAATTTAATAGACTTAGGATTTCTGTGGTTCCCTATTTTACTTATCTAAGCTTACGTCTACAACTCAAGTTAGAAAGTCAGAAATTTTAACCGTATATTTCTCAATGATTTTAGTGATCTTTATTCATGTTAGGGTTTCAACATGCTGTAAGACACTAAATACCGATAGCATTCTTAAAAGGTGAGAAGACGATTATAAAAATAAGTTTTACTTTTCACCAAACTTATTTTCTGAGGTCCATGCTTCAGACATGTAAAATCACATTTAGAGCATTCAGATTATTTTTCATTCAAAGATTAGAATAGATCAGAGGCAAAGGTAGGAAACCTTAAATAAAATGCAGAATAAACTATGGAATAAGAAATGATATGTAAGTAAGTAACACAAAAATCATACAAAATAGAAAGTCGTAGAAAGTTAGCAGTATTTCTGCACTTCTTTGGAGGACGTAGTACCGTCTAAAGCTTTCTAACTATTAACAGTGCATTCACATTTAGGATGCCTCATGACAACTGTATTTGAGTATCTTTCCTGAGCTTTGTGTAAGATGTTGAAGAATTTTTCGGAAGTAAAGATTTCGAAAAACATTTTTAGGTTTTGCTGTTACCGGGCCAATAAAAACAGTGCACAAGAAGACATTTCTAGTGAGCACATGACACACTTTGCTCATGTCCACATCTACAAACATGCTGATGGGTGTGTATTGATGTGGTCTGCTAAAGGAAATTTTAAGGTTGACCTTGAGATGAGACTGCTTAACGATCTGAAATGATCAGATCATTTATTGAATTACAGTTGAAGAGTTGATTTCAAACCATAATTTATCTTATGAGAAAAATTGCAAGCTAAATGTACGTTCGGTTACTTTTTGATGTTCTACGCTGATAACTAGGAGTGGGAAATTTATTCTATATATTCAAATCAGAGATTTATCTTCAGCAAAATTTGACTGCATACTCCTGCCTAACATCCGCGGAAAAAATTAAGATGTGAAAAAGTAGAGCCAAAGATGTCTTAATATTATTGACAGATAGTAGTGGAGTCCAGGACATGCGTTTCATCCTATTTGTGACTTGTTATCTAGATACACCTAACTCCCAATGACTGATGTTGTTCTCACTAAGACTGGGACCCGAGAACAGTCGCCTCCAAAGCTACAGCATCATCCACTATGCCACCTGATGTGACAGTCGGAATAGGACGTGGATTCTAATAATAAGCGAGACGAGTTATAACGCAAAGAGATAATTGGACTGAATACGAGTAATGCGACTGTTCTCCTCACAACTGACAGTTGACTGAGTTGCGAAAATCAGAAGACAAAAGACGGGAAGACGACTTTATTCAACAAAAAACGTAGTATTTCTATACAGCTTCTACCCAGAAAATGAAGCCACTAGATCACCAGTTAGCTGAAGGACAAAACTGCTCAACAAAATTAATCTGATCATACATGGACATAGATCAAGATCTGAAACGAAAAAATTTCTTCCCCAATAGAAAATGACCTTGACTGAGAATTCCCATTTTTGACCACTTCCTATCACCACTAAGTTACAAAAGCCACTTCTTATGCGATGGGTGCATCTTATATGATGTTGCTTATATAAATACTACGCCAATTGCACAAAGAGTGGTTGCCATAACTTAGTGATCTTGTGGAAACGCTCTGTCATTTGAGAAGATTGGTCCCCAGTTTGAGTCGTAGTGGGAGAAACATCACTCACTGGTAGCCAAGCACATCCAGGCAACGGGTCCTAAATGGGATGAAATGCACGTCCCGGATTCCACAGCTATCCACTTTACATTAATAATATCAAAATTAAAAATACAGCCGGTATCGAGGCATCGACAAAAGTGTTTTAAATTGGCCAGTGGTCAAAGATGCGGTTATTGGTCCCCCAGTTGCTGTGAACCATGTTAAGAGATGGGCTTCAGAATTTGGTTTTTTCTGTTTCTGAAGCAATCTGAGCTGTAATCAGTAAAGAACCACTATCCTTATTCAATGAAGTCTGCTTCCTTCGTATGGACTGCAATTCAAATGACTCCAACTTTACGTGGGTTTATGGGAGAATTTTTAACTATTTATGGGCCTTCAGTCATCACTCAGTATCAGCAGCACCAATGTGTCAAACTGTGACTGCATCACATGGTCTCATTAACAGTCTAACACAGTGACTGACTATTAAACATCCCAATAAGAACTAAGAATCTAATAAGTAACAAGGAGTTAGAGAAAAGAAAAACAGCATTGAGGTTTAACCAAATCACACTCATGAATCAGTCTATACATTTGTATTTGAGAGGATGGAATTCCTTGATTCAATATGTTAAGTGTTGTCTAATCGACACTTCAAACAGCCTGGTATTCTTTTAGACAAATCTTCAAGATAATCCTTAAACAATGTAGTTAACAAAAGTGAATTACTTCGCTGAATATAAACATAGTTACTTCAACGAAATATCTGGTTAGAGGCACGTTGAGTTGATATTAAACATCATACGGGGAATAAGCGCCTATTGGTCTGGAAAAGTGTGACCTATTTTCATGCTTGATGTTTTTGGATTTTTGTGGAGAAATAATTTTTATGACATTTGGTTTGACATTTACCTATATTCATGGCTTGTTATTAGGATTCCATTGGGCTGAATGAAATGCATTGTGAGGGGACTTATTTGTAGGTAGTGATAGTTATCCCATCAGACGGCTGAAACACAAAATTCAGGAAAAATTATCTGCTACGATGTAAATGAGATACACCAGTTTACCTCATCAAAAGATGTCCAGTTTTTGAAGAGCTAACTGTTTTCAACAGTAAAAGTTTAAGTTAACATAGATTTCACATAATATGTGTGAAAGATAAGCCAAATATTAATAAATAATAGTAAGTTAACAGATGTTTGTATAAGTAGCATTCTTCTATGCCAAGCAATCTGAAATCAGTTGAACATACCCATACTGAATACTTTCTGTCAGTAAAAAACGCTTGAACTAATTCAAGCCAATTATTGAAACAAAAATAAACCCCACATTTCAGTAAAGCAGCTGAATAGCTTACAGGTTTTTACGTAACAGAAGAAGGCAATGATAATTAATCGATTATACTATCCCAGCTGACCACAATAAGGTACTAATCTCAACATATTTATCAGCGGAGAAAAAATGAACTTAAGAGACTGACTGTGTTTCGTTCACTATTCTTATTAGTGTGAGTTAATGTTGTGACAAAAAAGTATAGAACAGTATAACACAAGCACAAAGATTGTCGAATTCACCTAGGTATCGAAGCTTGTTGCATTTATTTCCGTACTTAAAGTCAAATAAAAAATACAGTAGACTACACCCCTGTAATATTAGCAATAGTTAAGAATACATAACAGTTAACATACCATATACATTGACATGAATAAAGGCTGTTTCATTTCCCAAATAATTTGTCGCTTCACATTTATACTGACCAGTTGATTCGTAGTTGATATGATCTATTTTAAGTTCATTCTGACCAAAATGAACACATAAATCAGACACTTGATTCAGTTGTCTTTGTTTGTTCATCATTACAAACATATCTTTTGCTGCCAAATCATTACTCTTTCTGTATTTTCTAGCATCATGACTTTGTGTTATTGATGAATCATTAATAAACTTATTATTTTGGTACAACTGATGAATAGGAGCCCATTTGTTTTCTTCAGTTTCTGTTAAGAAAAAAGGATATAATTTATACTGATCTAATAAATCTAACAAGACTGCTATATCTGTAAAAGTTAGTACCTTTCAATCAGGTATGAAAAATATGGTAAAACGTTTTAGCTCAGTTTGACAGCCTAGGTGAATGTGTTTTCTGATCTACGTGATTCAGCTGCTTAACATTCCTTTTCTTGTAACACTTTAGTCAACTACTTAAATACACATGAAATTCATGATTCCGAATAGTACATAACCCTTGTATTACTTATTGATAAAGCAACTAATTTGTCGTGAAACATTTCAAGACTTTTCATTAATATATTCGACGAAAGCAATGTTACGATTATAAAAAATTTTCAGGCGATGAAGCAGCAGTTTTAATACGTGCAATAAGCTTTCCAGGTAACTAGTTCAGCTTTTATTAGATAAATTCGAGAGGTAAGACAAACGTGGTGCCGCTTAAAAATTTACTACTTTCCTGGCTAGTATTGATATTCAGTGAAAAGTACTCTTACTTCGAAAATTATGCTATCGCCACTAAAAACTGAAAATGCTACAAAAATGAAATGCTTCAGAATTTTATTTTCCGCAAATAAAAATTAGTGGAGGCTATTTGCATCTAGCAAAACTTTCACCATCTGTCTTCAATCCAGCCGGTACATATTGATAAGTGATTTTATGCTGCAAAAATTATCTTTCTCAAGTTACTGCCCAAAGTAAAGTTTGTAGGGTGAAACCAAATGACAAAAAACAAACAACGCAGAATCTTTCTGTTTTGAGAAGCCTAACTAACTAATTCTGAACAGAGGCAGAAGTATTCAGAGGTAAAACAGGGTTTACAAGAAAAATGAACCAGTTAAAGAGAAATAACTCCTAAATAAAAAAGTTTCAGTATTTAGTAAAAAGAGAAATATTTCATATGAGTGTAAATTCTAATGTTCATGAAACAAAACCCGTTTTTCTTGCGAAAGTGCCAGAATTAAATAAAATTTAATCCCATTATTCTTTCAAACTAATCAATGAAAGAAAACATTTCCCCCATTGTGTAATGCCGCTTTATGTAATATTCCATCATAGAAAATCTAGATCCATTTTTAATCACCTGTGTAAGTCATAAAGAACAAATATATATAGACTGACTGCAGTTTGTTACTAAATTAAACAGATTCTCATAACACGTAAATGAGAACGAAATAAGTGGGGATGAAATTTTCAGTTATGTCTTCAATGCTGCTAGAAAGAAATTCAACACTTCACTTCTAAGCAATAGTATTAAAATAAATCCTTTTCTACAAGAACACCAAAGGTTGGGCTTCTTAAACAATCTCAACAGCACATACATGATCATTAAAACAAGAAGGTTAAGTAAATAAAACATGGGCCTGTGAACATATTTCTCTGTTTTGATGGGTAACAATTTCATTTTCCTCACGGGAAAAGTAGAGTTATTCCCCTTTATTCTGCCTTGTCATCTATAAGTGCTATTCTTTCGTTAAATGGTTTCGTCCTAAGAAGAACGACTTTCTTAAGGCATTTCTAGTGCTCAAACATAAATTATGTCTGCATCATTCATTTTAATTTAATTCATTTTAACAGTCAAATGAATATTATTAAGTACAGGTTTGGCCATCTGAGTGCTTAGCTCAGTTTATAAAGATCACTCGTATCACGCAAAAATATTTCTACCTAGGTTTTCTTTTCATACTAGCAAATATTTGAAGGAAATAACCAAGAACTCACTCTGTAAACCTAATGCAATATTTGCCTAAATTGGCATATTGCCACCCTGCGGTAGATGCCTAATAAATAAAAGCATAAAGCTGTTAATTCTAAAATTTCTAAAAATGGGCAATAATAACCAGAATTATGAAATTGAATTGCAACCTGCCAGTTTCTGTATTCTTACCTGAATGTCATGAGAATTACCTGTTCTTTTTTCGTCTGGTTTAATCTTCACAATTGAAATTGTGACTTAACTAGGATCTGTTTGGCACGATAGTAAGTAGGGTTGATGTGACAAATCGACCAACACTGACTGCATGCACTAACAAATTCAGTGGATAGACGTTTCACCAGTTAGAAATCCATTCATTAAACACTAATTTATACTGCATCATAACATCTTTAACTTCGACAACGGTGACATAACAAGTCAGGTGCAAACGTCAGTGCTTTCAAAACTGTTCTTTTATCCTTCTGTAGGACCGTTGATTATCAAGGACTAAATTTAATTATGCAAGGATTTTGGTGCATTTTCAAAAAAAGGGTTCCATGTTTCTAAACGTGAAACTCACTAAAACGTTTGAAGAAATGCGTGATCACTCCTGACGAATGAACTAAAACTAACTTCATGTACGTAGTCAAAATAAGTTAAGAAGTAATTTAATCTTACTCACCTCTATACCATTTAAAAACCGGTGTTGGTGCTCCATGTATGGGACAAATTAAGACAGTTGACGAACCTTCCAGCACTGTGAAGTTTGATACATTTGTTTCTGAGTTACATAACCTTGGGGCAAATGCTGTTTACACCGATGTTATCCATCCCGTTTTGTGAAGAAAATAATGTAAAGAAAGACGTTATTTGAAATTTAATACACAATAAATTTATCGTGACTAAACAACAAAAATTCAGTAGTGTATAGCATTTAAATGAATTCATACATTTCTATTACTTACAATGTGTCGTGGAAATATGCAGTAAAGATATAGCATTCATGAACAAAATTTTGTGTGCAAAAATGTTTGTCATCCCAGTATCACAGTGTCTAGTCTGAAGTTATTCTCAGGATTCTCTAATGCACAGGAAAGATAAACATAGAATGAGGCTGAGTGATTGATTCTCTAGTTACTTAAAAATTAAGAAAGTACGAAAAGTCTAGTGTTTCTATGAAGTAAGCTAACTCATACTGTTTTTAATTAGATGGCATATCGATGGTAACCATCTAGATACAGTAGCAGCATATTCAGGATTTTGTAACTACTTTTTCCTCGACAACTAGTAGAATTATAAGTATACCCAACTACCACCGAAAGTTTACAGTTTTTCAGTCCCTATATTGTAAGTATTCATTGCATTCGTGAAAATATTCATTACAGTCGAAAGATTTACTGGTGTTTAGGATTACAGAAGTTGGACTCATACAAATCTAGTCCAGTTTCAGTTAGGTTTCTTGTCATAATAGTGTAAGTGAAAGGCAGTCATTTCGTTCTATCCTAATGCTCGACAGTTCTTTTATAACTTATTATCAGCTATCTTTTCGCTAATAACTTGTGATAATTTGCTATCGGTTATAAGTAACATTCTTTTGAGCTTGAAAACTTTGCTTAAAGGCTACTAGGCAGTAAAAATAAAAATTCTTGTAATGTTCACAAAAGAATCGATGCCACTTTAAATGAAAGTTAAGCAAACATCTCCAAGAATTTTCATCCATTTAGATATATTTCTGAAAGGCTTTAGAGTTAAGAATTAATGTCCTATAACTTTGATATTCGATGATCCAAAATAATCTACGTCATAAGAAGTTTATTTGATGTGTTAGATTCTCTAGGCTTTTTACTTAAGTAAAGCCATTTTACAGCTTTTTTATCATTTGATAACTGAATACACCACTCTCACTTTTGACAGTTCTCACTTTAGAAATAAATAGGTAGTTGTTAATTCATATTCACCTTATTAGGTGTGATTTCAGTTTCAACGAACTTGAATTCTTTCATACTAATGAATACTGAAGTGAATAAATGAAATTTACAATTTCTTAGTACTTTTCATCACATATTTAGACCATCCTTAATGACAGGTCAAAACTAAGGTGTAGTATTCAACTGGTCTAAGCAGCTGGTATCTGCAAACACATATCAGACCAAACCTAAAAATGTCAGGTATCCTACTGATCATGTAATATTAAACCAATGGCTTGAAATAGAATGGTCCCTTTTTATCTTGCTTCCACAAATTCTTGGCTTGGAGGAATCAACATTCAATGTTATCGGAGAATATTCATCCTCACACCTGAATTGGTTAACCATATAGGTTATGACTTCCCGTCAAAGTTTTCAGAAGTTCATCTCTAAGAAAGTCAGTACCAAGCTGCTAACTGATATTGAATCCTGAGAGATCAGTTAGGTGGGGTATGAAGATAAGTATTCACCAATAGTATTGACTGATGCTTGCGATATGTCATAGGTTAACTATAGCTAGGAAAATAGACTACTGGTTTTCTCGAAATTGAGTGAGTATCAATATGCCAGATGTGAAACCAAACGATTTTGGCTTCCATTTGACAAGTTATCGTGCGTTTACACTGCTAAGAACACCTAAACTAGAAACAAGGAGCTTTTCAGTACTTTCTTGTCTGAATGGAAATCTGGCTATCGAAAACTACTCTAAACTCAGTCAATCTACTATAAACCAGCAACCTTGTTTCAGGAATCTGTCTTTACATTTCTAATCAAATTTTTGATAGGAGCAATGACTAAACATTTTATAGCGTCAGACAAATGCAAGGCTCAATATTTAAATGAATGTCCACTCCGCTTTCTTGAAAGATTTATTCAACGTTACTTGATGACGGTTTGTGGGTTTTGGTTTCATCACTAGTGATAATTTTGGGATATGATACCATCAATCACCGATACCAACAACACAATTTTTGACGCGTACAATTCGCTTCTTCATTTAATCTTACATCGAAGGTATTTATATCCCGAGACATGCATAAACATTCGGCAAGTGAAATCATTTTCAAGCATTTTTCTTAACTGCGAAGTATAGTGTTTGGAAACATTAGATGGTTAATAGATTTTCCTAGTCTAAAAGCACCGACCTTTATTACTTACTTCGAGTGAAACATAGCGAAAATTCTAACTGTACTTTGTCTGTGTGTCTGGATTTTCATCTTTTAGGTCACGTGAAAGTTTTCAATTAAAGTTTCTGAAAATTTGAGACAAACTTTCAAATGACTCAAAATTAGTTAGAGAGTTCAGAGAGATATATTAGTCTTGCTATGTAATATGTAACCGTGTAATTGATTATGATTATTCATGACCTAACTTCCGCCATCAGAGATAAATTTTCACTCAGTGCCATTTATGATCTACTCAAATCCTCGATTAGAAAATGATTGCTATTTCCTCTAAAAACATACTCACGAAAAGGTTGATGAAATTAATTTTCTGCGAACTTTTGCAGCGAAAACTGAAATTGGCTTTTGCATTTCCACAAAGTGAGGTTTCCCATGCAAATATGCTTTCAAGAAACTAGAAACTAGCTTATTTCTCTTTGCTAATTTGCCCAACCTCATTTATCGCTTCACGGTATTAAAAACAACTTAAAATATGAAAAAATAATATCTAATTAATCGTGTTCACTAAATTTATAGAATCATCAATGCAACCCACATGATTCTCTAATAGCTTTCTTCATTCCTTAACTTTGTGAATGTATCGATTTCAGCAAGATTTTTAATGTGGTTTCCGAGTAAATTTCGGTGTTTTCATATTTTGTTCATCCGCTAAATATGTTATTCTATAATTAATTTTATTTACCGGATAAAATTTATGATTCTGTGTAACCGCACGCATTGCATTGTTTGATTATCTTATATACATCTATTCTTCTAAACAGTGTTAATTCTGACACACTTTAATTAGGTCTGTAAGGATTGTAAAACAAAAACTAGAGTAAATAACTTTTCGTTTTTATGGGTAATACTGCTAAATCTTAAACCATCTAACATTCTTTAAATAACACTTCACATCTATATTCAAATAGATTTAGAATAACCTTTTAAGGATTCATACAAATTGTCTACCATGCCTCTAAATTACACGAAACGAAACTCGATAAACTAACTCCTCGTATCCGGTTGTAATAGTGTTTATGTGAAGTCTGAAAAAAGTGTAAAAATTGTCCGTCAAACTATAAACCTGGACAGCATATGAACAAGAGGTGTAGCAGGATAATACGAGATCATTTTTGCTATTTTGAGTATTCTTCTCAACTGCTGACAGCGTTCATTCAGTTGACAAGAAGATACTGACAGGAACGACCAGTAACATTCCCACTACTCATTTTCTATATCACTCAGCAAACGTTATGAGCTGTTGAGATGATTCGCCAAAACAGCAAACGTGGACTTGTGTTATCCTGCTACTCTTGTTGTTATTTTTGTCGCACTTTGCAGGTATATTATATTATTATTATTATTATTATTTATTTGTCGTTTAGGTTCCTAGTGGAACATAGAGCCTCAGTAGCACGTCTCCATTCCACTCTATTCTCTGCAATCTTCTGAACCTGGCTCCACGACTGCCCACAAGCTTTTATTTCTTCTTAACACCATCCCCTCCATGTCACCCTCGCCACAGACGCCGAACTCGTCGTTTCCAACCTAGGTTCCACTTGAGCGCCTGGTGCGTGATGTCTCCGAATGGTCTTCTCAGCGCATGCCTAATCCATCTCCACTTCCTTCTACTGCATATTTGTTGAAGGATAGGTTGTTGGTTGGTTCGTTGCCAGCCAGAGTTCCTGATTGCTTATTCTTTTCAACCATTTGAGCTTCAGTAACGAGTGTAGGTAGTTGTTGATGAATGTCTATAGTTTGTTGGGAATGTCTTTCGTAACGCGCCAAGTCCCTGAACCATATGGAAGCACTGACTTGACTGATGTTGGTGTTGAAAATCCGGATCTTGTTCACGCTTTGTTCTGAGTGCAGTGCAGTAGGTCTCTACACTGATTTCAGGTCAATGAAAGCCTGTCTTGCTGACTTTCCAATCCTAGCTTTGACGTCCGTGTCTGTGCCGCCTGTAGTTGAAACGACCGGTCAAAATAGCAGGGCAGGAAAATTGAGCGAAACACAATGGTAGACACTGCTTTTATGAGAAATTTGAATGAGAACTTGGGCATCGTTCTCCACGCATCGACCCCTACTCACACTATAGGATGGGATAAGGTGACAATTCTGAAACCCAGTATAGCTGGGTGGAGAAAAAGATTAGCGAAATCTTTGTTTGTTGAAACAGCACTAAACACACGTGACAGGAATGATTCACCTCGCATTGAAGATCTCTGAATTTCACGACTATAACATAAATCTCATGTTGTTCTCATAATTTAAATTTCAGCTATATATTTTGGGTTTGATGTGTGTTCTTGAGGACTGTTTAGAGCATTCTTAAAAACATGCTTCAGGTTGTAATGGATTCTTTAAGGTGACAATCCTTTCGAAAGAATAAACGCTATGGTTGCAACATTCCCTTTTATTTTCTGTCTATTGAAATGTTTAGCTGCGATACGAAAACCTGATACAACATGTTATTCACTTTGACAGAGTATGCTTTAAATTCCTTCACTACCTTAAAAACAGTCAAGTCAGTTACTATTAGGTAAGTTGAGAGGAATTATTTCTTGACTGGATATTAGTTTAGGTATTTCCAGAGAGACGTAAGTGACATACTATTTCGTTTGTGAGTGCCTATGAGTTATATTGAAACATTTTGACTCTAAACTGCAAGAATGTCTTTCACTCTAATTCTACAATTCTCTAAATATCCTGTTCATGTTCAACACTTTCTTATTATTTGTCTAGTTATTCTGACAACTGACTGTGCATAAAAACAGCGGTTACTTACATGGTGAAGGTCAGCAGTAGAATTCAGCTTATGCATTTCAACTTAATCAGTCAGGTTCACTAGATCCTCAGTCATATAATCCTCTCCATCACTATTCAAAATGTGTTATCATTTGACTAGTGAGTTTCGCATAAGATGTGCTTCATGGATTATATTATTACCGGCATCATCATGCCAACATCTTTATCATATGCATGATGGTACTTAGGGAGTCTTATACTACTAGAAGTTGATACATCTTGTCGAAAAGAATAAAACATGATCTCATGCACATTTCTATGCTTTCTTGAAGAAAAAATAAAGGCATGAACACTGAAAACTGAATGACTTCAAAGTTGAAACATGAGAATTAGAATTTGTTTAATTATGCAATTTCTTTATTGTTGTTAGTTAACATTTCCAAAATGTATTATTTTCTATCTTGAGAATAATCAAAAATACCAAATAAGACGTTGTCCAACTATTTTGAATGCTTTATTAGAAACATTTTTAATTTACTATTCTCATAATATATGTACTACTGCCCTAATATGCATCCGCTATCACTAGCTTAGTTGAATATGCTAGAATTATTAGTTAGGCAATATTATGATTCATTTAGTCCTTCAGCCATACCGAAATCCCAAAAACGCTTTGTTATAAGTAGCATTGCATTTTTCTACGGCATGATATTCATCTGTGTATAATTCACACCGAACTTTAATGCATATCAACTCTCCAATGTAGAATAATGCCAATGGAAAAAGCATATTATACTAAACCTTAGAAAACCAAGTTGTGCAAAATATCTGTACCTTTCTATTTCTAAATTTTTCCTGTCAGTCACATTATTCTATTACATACGTATGCATAAGTTAATGCAAATTTTTAAATTCTGTAGCTGTACTTAAATCTATTGTTTAGAACAGCGGCGAAAAAAACGCATGAATAAGATATCCTAAATAAAGAGACAAAAGTTCTATCATTAGACAATAGAAGGGAATACAAACCAGTGGCGTATTGATCATTCGGTTCATTGTCTTTCATCAAGTATCCCTCTCAAATATTTCTATAATCTGCAAAGCCATCGCACTGAATAAATGTTTGGAGACAAAATGTTCAGTGTAAATTTTATCTAATGTAAGTCGATATTATCTGTTTCCATGTTAGATCATTGTTTTTTTATACATTCACTAGTTCTTTTATAATGTTTTACTGTTTCCAAAACTTAAAATATCACCATAACAACTGTTCGATGCAATTAAAGGAGTTTTATACGGGTTTGATGTGATACACCAAAAACTACAGTTTCATTATGAAGTAATTATTTTGCACTACGGAAAGGTAAAACAAACCTAAGAAGATTAAAGTGGAATGTCTGAAGAATAAAATATAGCACACCAAAAACTCCAACGATCCAGTTATAGCCTTACAAATTCCAAACGGCCAGTACTCAGAATCAACTGAAGTTAAGTGATAAAGTTTGCAGTATGGCTACCCATCTGATAGATGAGACCACGCAGTCCACTGTATTTTTGTTATATGAATTGGAAGTCAGTCAGCTGGAGCACTGCAGCTTATACTACAGGCTTATTGGCACTTATTATCAAAGTACATCTGAATTCGTGATGAAACTCATGTTCCTTTCAACATGGAAACCTGCCTCCCAAAGTAAAGTTAACAGATTCAGGTAATGCTGAGCAACATGAATTTGATAGCTGCATTGATTCAACTCTGATGACCAATATTTTGGCATGATCCCATCCTATAGAAAGTCATTCATTACATAAGCAGTATATTAGTGAATTTCCTGACTCCTAAACTGAGGGATCGAACGGCTGAGTTTACATTAGTTACCTAGAATCTCAGATATGTGGTACTGATGAGTGCCAAAAGGCATAAATCTTAGGCCACATACTTGTTATTTTCCATCCAAAACGGAAACCCCTGTCAAATTTCTAAAAGTAAGTTGTATACTTTGTTGTTTATCATAAACATTGAATTCTAAATAACAATGAATAGTGGCTAGCAGGGGAATCCAGGACGCACGTCTCGTCTTATCTGTGACTTGTCAGCTGGATGCACCTTCCCCCTAGACAATGATTTTTACCCACTAAGACTCCAACTCAAAACAGGTCGCTTCGGTTACAGGCAATAATACAGTATTCTACAGATTGTAAAACAATTGAAGGGGAATCCATACAACACTTGCATACTAATCCTACTAGCATGGTTCTCCATTCTTTATTTAGATTTTTGGGTTAGAAAAGTTGTATAAAACTTCTTTCGAGCTACGAAAAAGATATTTTACGATAGAATTATATGTAAATGTGATCCACTGAATTACCTATGTCCATCACGTTTGACAGCATTTATGAAATGCGTTCTGTCAGCAAGTTTGCGTTATATACCTGGCAGCCTTTTCTTCAGTTAACACGATGTCTTCATGGGTTATGATACTTAATGTTGTAGTTAGGACGGCATTTCTTTGGTATAATATCGCCCTTGCAGTTTATGTTAACCTGGGCTAATTTTGGTATTTCTCTGGGACAAATTTTACTCATAATTATTATACTAAAATCACAGCACCTCTAATCCATAGGTAAAGCACCATTGGTCGGTTTTGTTACACATGGAAGTATCGAAATCTAGAAGGAACTAATTTGAAATACTGTTAAGCACTTCCAAGGTA